CTCTTTCCAATGCAACACCAGTGCCCGTGGGCATGTGCCATACCTGGTATCGACTGAGGTAACCATCCAAGGCTGTGTAATTGATAGTGGTGGGGGAACCTGAGGGCCAGTCTATCCTGCTGACCTGTCTGGAGAACTCATCCAGCACCTGCAAGGCAGAACCAGAGCCATGAGTGCCTCGCTGCCTGTCTAGACCAGGCACTCATGGAGCCATCAAGGAGGTCTCACCCCTTGACAAGCCCTACTCAGTACAAAAGGAGAGCAGGGGCAGCTGATCAACCCCAAGTTCCAATGGTATGATCAGCAGAGACAAGGACTTGGAGCTGGGCTTGTTAGCTCAAAGCTAGGATAACTGAGAGCTCCTACCCCACACTTCTACTTAAGCAGAGCACGCTCTGGACTTACCTTGTCCAGCAGGGTGAAGCAGACTCGCGGTGGGTACTCACTGTCAGCCACAACCACGCCGGCCAGCCCATCACTCCGCACATACACGTGGCACAGGTATTCTGAGACAGAAAACAAGGGCAGAGACTGCGGGTGAATGCCGAATGCCAGTTTCTCAGGCAGCACCTGCAGCTGCTCCTCAGAGGCAAACCTTAAGCCATGGGGGACTGTTTCACACTTGGGTGCCCAAGCTAGGGAGAGTCTAAGGTTCACATTTCCCACCTCATAGGCAGCATCTGGGTATGACTAGGAAGGGCAGGGAAGGGAGAAAGCCTGGTACTGCCTGCCATGTGTGGGACTTGGCATGTAGCCAGCTCCTCAGGGCAAAGCAAGTTCAGCTTCAGTTACACAAACAGCAGCCAGGAGGCCACTCAGTGTGTAGGCTGGGCAGACATCCCTGATTCAGGAGCTCTTAGGATGTGCTAACAGACCAGCAAGACAAGGAAGCAGCACCAATACATGGATTTTTAGCTTGTCATTGAGTGGGGACGGTGCAGTGGCGCACAGAGCATGCCAGCAACGGGGTGGACAGAAACAGAGGCGTGTGGGGATGGGAAGGTCATGACTGAGACAGTGACCCAAGGGGGTGGGGCGGAAGGACACACAAGCAGGTATTAGTGAGGGAAGTAGAGTCTGGAGCACAGGGGCCGACAGCAGGAGAAGCCCCAGGAACTTGAGTGGAAGGGGTAGAATTCAGAGAAGCCTAGGAAGACTGGAGTGGCAGGACACTGTAGGGTTGGCCAAGGGAGGCCAGTCTGGATGTTGCATCCATGCAGGCTGCTGGCTCAGATCTGTAGCCGCGCCATGTGGGATGAGATGAGTAATCAATCCCAGAGGGAGTAGTTGGCTGCCAGGCCGGTTCCAGCTCCCACTTGATTTCCCACAGTCACAGAGTGACTTGGCTGGAGCCCAGCACGGATGCAGGTGGAATCCTCCCTGCTTTAAGTGTTTAGCCAGACACCTGGCCCTGGTGACATGCCCCCATCCCACCTGAGGGGAGAGTTTAGTCCAGGAGAGGAGAGAAGACAGTTCCCAGGTGCAGTGACCCATGTTCCAGTTAGGAACTTTCCAGGTCAGGTTAACCCCTGAGCACCAAGCACTGGTTTTGCTAGGAATATGCCTTGCAAATGTTTTAACCATGATGTCATAGCTACATAGGTAGCATGTAGGATGTGATGTCACCCACCAGGAATGTTCAGTGCTGGGGTGGGAGTATTCCCAGGCATTGCTGCTATAGATGGACACACCCCCAGTTACACCACACCCCACAAGGGAAAGCACCAGCCTGTGCCTCACCCAGCCATCAGAGGACGGAGGGCAGAGGACAGTACCCAGACTGGATTGCCCTCCTGGGGCTGGAGAGAAAGAAGCAAGGGAAAGACATCCCTGCTCCTGACTCCAAGCTCATAGCTTCTACCCGCTGTGCAAAGCACAAGGAGGCTGCCTTGTCTGCACAGGCTCATGGCTGGCATTCCTCAGGGGCACTGTGCCCTCTCACCTTGCTCCTTCACAGAGGCTCTGGTGCCCAGGTCAGAGCGCTCCACAATCAGCTGGCTTGTGAAGGTCATAAACTCCTGCACACTGCAAAGAGAAAGCAGATTCCCACATGAAGGGCTTGTACGTCCTACTAGGACACCGACCTGTCGGGGCAGGTGTCACCCACGGAAATGGATTCACCCATTGCACAGCACTTGCTCATGGACAACGTGCAGCACAGCCAATGGCATCAGGCCGCTGCAAAGCCACCTGGGATATTTAATGCTCCTTTTGAGAACAGACTCTGACCCCAGGCCAGTGCCAGCAATTAACCAAAGCAAGCACATCAGCCTCATCGCTTTACCATGCTGTGTCCACATCACTGCATGGAACAGGCTGTGGGGATTAGTGCACAGGCACTTGACCTATGGCAACCCCCAGAGACAGGTTGGCCCCTCCACACCCCTTTGTGTTTAGGTGGCGTGTGCCTCAGGAGTTACCAGAACTCCCACCCCATGGGGCTGTTTGGGAATCAGGAACACAGGCAGCACTTGGGATGCAGTGTAGCGTAGATGTAGGCAATCAAGCAGGAAGACGCCCAGTCGGATATCCAGTCCAACCGGAAGGACTCCACACAACCCACACACCTATACTGCTTTCGGTACCTCAGACAAAGGTACTAGGACAGGAACATTCCATCCTGGAGCTTCATAAAAATCACATAAATCATAAAATGGGTCTGGGAAGGGACCTCCAGAGGTCACATCTAGTCTAACCTCCTGCCTGAGGCAGGATCAGCCCTGTCCAAACCATCCTATACAAAACCACCATCTAAACTGTTAGTAACCCTGACACAAGACAAGACATCATACCCAAACCTGCCACAGGGAAAGCAAGGGGCCTTTCTGCCTTCCAATTACATTTGTCCTTCATTAATTTAGCACCTATTGGATGTGACACCTTTTGGGGCATCTACAGTCAGATCTGCTGGCCTTGAAGTTGACATGGAACTGCTTCTCTTGACCCCCTGCACCCAAGGACAGCTATGAAAGGACACCAAATCCCTCTCTCTCAATGTAACTTCAAGGGCCCCCAGGCATATCAAGGAAGGAAAGGAGCAGTTATGAACTGCAGGGTAAAGGAATCATTTTAGGTTACAAACACCTTCAAGCATCTTGAACCTTTCCATGAGTCTCAGCTTCTTTCTCCCAAAGTCTCATATCCTCCCAGCGTACGGACAGATTAGATTCACTCTGATTCTGCAAGCTCCTAGGCTTCCAGCTAGGCAGCATACATACTAGACCTCACAGTTTGGAGGGCTGCCTTGCAAACAAGCCACGTATAGAACTCACATCACATTCTCCAGACAAAGTCACAGAATGAGCTGCATCCAACCTGTCAGGTCAGTTTCCTGCAGCTGCTGTTGAGAAAAGCTATGTGCAGGACAAGTGCTGGAGTTATCTGAAGGGCAACCTCAACAGGTTTTTACAAGGCATCAGATGAGAAAGGCGTGCTCACTCTGCAGGCGGTCAGGGGGAACTGGAAGGGGAAAGAGAACTTCCCACCCCCTTCAGCTGCTGCTTTGAGATCTGGGGGGATCCCACATTTGTACAGCCCCACTAAGCAAGGACAGGTATGAAAATGGAGCCTGTCTGCAGAGCCCGGGGACAGGATGCTGGGCAACATCCCAGCCCTCATGCTCCCAGCATCTTCAGACAGGAGGATCATTAGTATTCATAACACAGCCCTGGCCACCACCGAACTCACTGCCTGACTAGATTTTCAAGAAGAGCTCGGCTTCGACCAAAGCTCTCCCCACAATGAAAGCACAGGGAATTTTACACTGATTCTCTGGGTACTTTACCTGGCCTCTGAATACAGTTACTGCAAGCAAACACAAGGCTACCAGACATTCTCCTGCCCCACAGCTTCCTTCCCCACTCCAAGCCCCAGTGCCCAGGAGGCTGCTTGGAGAATAGACTGTTCTGGACACCAGAATTACTGATGGCTGCATTTGGTGTTTCCTGCTCAAGCCTAAACATCTGTTCCACAGGGTCTACTCTTACTCAGGCCATATGCTGCATTTGCATCCAAGCTGCTGCAGCATATTAAACATCAGGGCAGCACCAGCCCTCCCAGCTTTACAAGACCCACATCAAATGCTAAATAGATTAAGGCCCTAACATACTGTCTACCATAAAAAAAAAGCCAGGACTGGTTGTTCTGCCTCTCTTCAGTCATTGGAAATGGGCTCAAGGTTATTGGTTCCTCAGTACTACTGTTGTTTACTTACATATCTCCCTGTCTAGAGAGCGGGTAAAAGAAGCTCAGTTTCGCTTTCGCAGGTGAAGTCCCAAAGCATCAGTTTCCCTATCACTGCAGGGCAGAGCCGTGTGTGTTTAAGGAGAGTTGCTGTTGGAAGTCTGACAGCAAGAAATTGGTCAACATATTCCTGTAAATCCTTCAGGTTTATTGCACAGGCTGCCACCTGATGCAGGATTATGAACTTCTGGTATTTTGGCAGCAAGTCCCACATCTTGGTGCTTTATGTTGCCTTGCTGTTTCAGGTGATAACTGGCTACAAAAGCACTCAAATTATATGTGGGGGAGGTTCTTTTAAATTAGCTTCTATGTGAGCTGTCCACACAGTGCATCTCCCTATTGCTCTAACCACCTTATGTAGTCTCTCCTAAATTATGAGATTTAAGTAAATTTCATGACATAAATCACTGGGAAAATTACCCTGAAATAAAAAATAAATGTTTACCCATTTCATTTACACTGCCAGTGGTTTTAGGACAGAATCAAGAGGTTCTAAGGAACTGTTCTGTCCACATTTAAGTTTAAATTTAGGTCACTATCCCTTTAGATATCACACTTAGGATATGCTCTAGCAGTCATTCATGTCCATGAGCAGACTACTCATGCCTGTGACATTAGGCATGACTGCACTGCAGCCCAGGATATCACCTAGGAAGCAAAAGGAGAGGACTGTGCAACATAATATCAGCTAGGCTCATCCTAGCAAGGATCTCTGCCCCCATCCTTCCCCCCCACAGACTTCTACTGTCTGGTGACATTTTTTCAAGTTCAGAACTAACAAAAAATGAGTAAGACAGAACTGTCCATAGCTACCCACCCCCGCAGCTACAGCCTGGGCTTTGGCAGTTATTACAATTTAAACTGAGCCCTATTTTTGAAAGCATCAGAGCAAGCCTCCTGTTAGAATCCTGTCTGTAGGGTACAGCCAGACTGACGCACAACCTGAACAGCAACGACGTATCGACACCCATCTGCTTGTGACTCACTTCTCTCACTGCCAGGGGGCCTCTGGAAGACTACAGTAACATTGTGTGTCACTTAGAATATTGAACACAACAATAAACTGCTAATTGTCTCAGCACCCGGGTACCCTTGAGACAAAGTCCTTCAGTCCTGCCAGACAACAAAGAGGCACAGTGACATCGCAGATGCTATTAATTTAATAGCAATCACAAGGATGGACAGAGGGGACATTTGTAATGCTCTTTACACAAAAATCAAGTCTCCCTCCAAAATAATCCTCTTTCAAATGCACCCTTCAGCAACCTTCAGTGTCTAGGCACATCTATGTACCAGATCTCACCTTTTTTTTTTTTTGAGCCTTGTCTAAATAAGCCTCTCGCGCAAAACCTGATGAAATACTTTCCCTTCACCATAGGAACTGCAAAAGCAAATATGCTCAAGCTTTAAAAAACCTGGGCAGAGACCAAGAATAGAAAAATCTCAGTCTGGCAAGTGAATCTCTCTCTAAGCATCTGGAACTAATGGGTTTGAAGGAAGGGTGCTTTTTATTTTGCAACCAGGCACTTGCTTCCAGTACTGTTTCCTGGAAGCTTTGGGGGAATCATCCCCCTTTTGCTGGATAAGGCTGAGCTCCTGTTGCTGCAGGATTAGCTGGGAAGAGTGCTACACAGTTCACCTTCTCCCTGGGCAGATTATCCCCCTAATGCAGAGAGCTGCCAGGCAGGGGAATGACAACAAAATGGGATTAGCACTTCGCTTGAAGAACTGGACTGAGGCTGTATAAGACCATCCTGCCTGCAAACTACCTGCCTCACAGAGCTCTACCAGGCCCAGATGTTGCATTACCTGGAGAAGGAATGCGCTGTGTCCCAGCACCAATACACTGATAACTAATGGGAACCACCTCCCTTTAGTTCCTCCAGGCTCCTCATTAGCTGGGCAGGTTGCATGATCAGCACATTGGTTTTTCAGCTGAGAAAACAACTCCTGTCCGAACATACGACAGCTTCTCCCCCACATACTCCTTGCTTTGCACACTTTATGCAAACTGATCAGACCAGGCCTTACACCCAGACGGCCACCATCTCAACCCAACCAAACCCAACCCAACCCACTGCTTTATACACCCAATGGATGGGTTTTGCCATTGACTTGTGGTGATACAGGCCCCCTTCCCAGTCTGATTTCAGAGCCCTGGCACTTCCTATCCCAGTGCCTCCCTACTGTCTGCCATGGTCTTGGGAGAAACCAAGCTGACTGACAACCAAAGGCAGAGCAGGGAAGCAAACCCCAGCCCCCCCACACAACTGACCCCTGGCCTCCCACCACCTGTCCTCCCTGTGCAGAGGGGACCCCCAGCCCCGCATCTTGGTGGTACGGGAGGCCCCAGGCACAGCGAGGACCCACCTGGAGCGCTGGAAGAAGCCGAAGGAGGACACATCGTAGGCTGCCTTCAGCAAGTGCACTTTGGGGTCGCTTTTGTAAAGGACACTTAGGCTGTAGAGCCGCATGGTGGGAGCCCGCCGCCGCCCCTTTCCTGTACTGGCCACAAGGTTGCGGGGGACAGAAAACAACTGGTCACAGCAGGTTTCTGGTGAGGCAGGACTGAAAGCATCCTGACAGGGCTCCGTAACCACGATAGGGGGATGCGATTGGGCATCCGCTCTCAACCAGCGGTCTGGCGACCGGAGGGAGAGGCTGGTTCTCACGGGTCAGTGCACTGCGCCAGCGCTGTCGCTGCCGGGGGACCCAGCGATGGGGGGGCCGGGCAATCTGGGGCCGGGCCGCGAGCGCAATGCCTGGGCTAGGCTGCAGCAGCAGGAGGAGCAAGTCCCCGCCATGGCGTCGTCTGCCAGTTCCCATTCCCATAGGCACCCCTCCCCCTGCCCCTGAGCACCCCCCGGGCACTGCCCTGGGTGCGCCCCCCGTCCCTCAGCCCGGGATGGGGGCGGGGGTCGGTACCGGGCGGCTCCCGTCGTTCCGTCTCCCACCGGTGAGTCCGGAAGCGGCCACAAGACAGAGGGCGCCGCCGACCCGGAAGCAGCAAAGAGCCCGCCGGAAGTGACACCCTCATTCCAGGGCTACTGCCACGGCGCCGGGGCGGCTCTGCGCTTGCGCCGCTGGCGGCCAATAGAAAGCCGCGTGGCAGAGGGCCCGAGCTGTGCGCCCGCCGGCCAATCAGCGCCCCGCTTCCAGAAGGGACACGGGGAGCGTGGCGGGGCTGGGTCCCTGGGGCAGTGGGGCCTGGGGCTCCCGGCGTGCAATGCGGCAGGAGCCTGCCCCCCGACCCAGGGAACCGGACCTAGCAGCTGGCATTGCCTGCGCCGTGCGCGCCCCACCGGGGTTAGCCTGCCCCTCTGGCCCCCAGGCTGCTCGCAGAGCATGCCCCGCACACCCTGCACGTGCCCTGTTCTAGTGAGACCCCCCCTCGCCCCGCTGTGCAATGATGGCTAATAAAAATGCTGGGATGATGTCAAAAGCCTCAAGGTCTCGCCTGCTCGCCCACTCCAAGAAGGGCATGAGACCGATTCAGCGTGCTTTCAGTGCAGCAATCCTCCCCGGGTGGCTTTTCCCCTCCAGTTCTTGTGCGCAACGCGGGGCCGGTGTTTTTCAGATGTGGCGGTGATGCCGGTGGCCTCGTGTACCCAGGATGCTGTGTTGCCGCTGACAGTTGCTATGTTTGCCCTTCTCCGGGCCTCTGGCACTTCCCGGTCCTTCAAGTGTCCTTTAAGATAATTGCTAATGGCTCGGAGATTGCTTTGGCTAATTTAAGTGCTCTCCCCAGAATGTTATCAGGCGCTGCTGATACAGCTTATCTCACTGTTCCCTACCCCGTTCTGCCCATGAGCTAACCGCTTGCTGCAATTAATTGCATTAGGTGTCAGGGGTCACAACGCTTGTTCCTAGCAAAGGACAGACCATCCTTTCTCTGTGCCCTCTTTACACCACCTGCTGTTTGTTCTCCTTCCCTGGCCGGTGACAAGGACTCGTGATACAGCCAGCACCAGCAGGCCTTGATATACCAGCCTGAGCACAGTGTAACAGAGAGGTCCTGTGGCAACGTGCGTAGCTTCATACCAGCATCAGTCTCACTGTCACGATAATGCCCTTTATCTCAGGTTAAGCGCAGCTAGCCTGGGATGAATGTGGTCATGCTATAGGCTTCACCCATCCAATCATATTGGTCTCAAGCCAAGATCATATACAGATGGTTGTGCCTCTGGTAGCTTCCCTGGTGGAGGGAGGTGTGAACCCATCTCTTCCCCGCAGACTCTGGCCATGTTCTTTTTGCTCCTGTTAACTGGCTCTGACCATCCTTGCTTTCAGATCCAATCTCTGTTCCAGCTCCCAGGCCTCCCCAGACCTGTCCTGGCCTCCCTCTCAGCTTCCTCTCTCAACATATTCACACCTACCCAGGCCCCTTCCTGCCAGGGCCCCTCACTTCCCACTGCTCTCATCTTTGCACCTGCCTCGCATGTTTTGAACTTCCTCCTTGTCCATCGTTCTCCACATCACTCCTTCCTCCTTCTTGCAAGCCCTTCGCACGCCCTACGTCACAGCATTTGATTTCAAGACTAGAAGGCGCCTGCCTGTGTGACCATCTCAGCTCATATCCTCCATGGAACAGAGAACCACCCCCATTACCTTCTGTATCAGGCCCATCCATTTCACTCAAGCTATCAGTGATCTTTGGAAAACCCTTCCAGAAGTCACATGATGACTTCCAGCCATGAAGAACCCATTGTGTTGTCTGCAAAGCCTCCTGTGAGACACGCTCCGTGGTGAGTGTGCTCACAGGATCCTCGGGCCATCACCCAAGCAGCCCTGTGAATTAGATTAAACCTCCTGGGGGCTGCAACCATTTATATTGTACTGTGGGCCCTGGATGGGTTGGATCCAAAAATTAGATAATTGGGGCAGCTTGCTTCAGGAACCCACAGCTGCAGATTAGCTGGTCTTCTGATCATCTCAACTTCTCCCATTGGGAGGAAGAGCCTACAGAGAGGCAGAACTATGTCCACTGCCATGTCAGGTTTGCCCTTGCCTCCGTCCAGCTAGCCCCCTCCTGCTCTTTGTTAATCTTTGTCATTTGGAAATGGGTTTCTCTGCCCCAATGCGGTCGCCTTGGGAGCAGAACAGGTTGGCTAGTCCTGCCCTGGAGTGGTTGCCGCAGTAACGTGGAGATAAAGTGGTTGTTATGACAATCCCAATGGCTCAGGTAGTGGCCTTCCACATGGCAGCGCTAATGGGCCAGCCAGGAGGGGTCCAGGTGAGGCAAGACAGCAACAGGACTTCCCTGGTTGTCCCAGTAACACGGGGTTCATCTCCAGACTCTGGGAAGCAGCTCGGGAGCAAGAGACGGGAAAACTATCTGTAAGGGAGAAAGTCAACAAACAACACAGCTGGTTTGGGAAAGGCACGGGCTGGGGGAGGAGGCAGCAAGCAGGTGCGTGAAGTCAAGTGTCCCTGCTCCATTGCCTGGGAGGAACAGAGAAGAACCTCTCTTAGCACCGAGGGACTCGTTACTTTGCTTCCAACAAGATGCTGGGCAGCCAGGTGGATCCCCGTGTCATGGACGTCCCTCCTCTCCATCCTGCCAAGTGAAGCCCAGACCCAGGAAGAAACTGAGGCTGCAGGGGTCTGGGACCACGGGGAACTCACGGAAAGGAGGAGACGCACGAGACGGGGATTTTCTTGGGGGGAAACGAACGCTCCAGAGACTGTGGAGGACTCACAGGCACAGGCAGAGACGCCATCTTCTGAGACGCAGCTCCTCAGGGCTGGGAGGTGGAAATATTTCCGGGGCGAGGCCACAGCTCCCTGTGGGGCTGCGTGTTTGGACTCTGTGCGTGACGGACTGGCCTCCAGCCCACCTGCCTGCCCCAATGCTGGATCACAGAGCCAGGATGGACAGCTCCAAAAGGGAGAAGGTAACTTCCCACCCCCCACCCTTGAAGGGTTTCTTTTCCCTGCTTGCTCTGCATTTGTCACTGACCTCTGTGAGGACCATGACAGGCCGTGGCTTTGGAGGGGGGTGTGTTCATACTGCATTGGTCCCTGGGCCAGTGCCCCTTTGAGACAAGTAATGAGTCCTTTGTTTTAAGCTGCTTCCAAGTCCTGTTCCTGGACTGCCTGTATCTGTCCCTGGACAGCGGTCCTTGGGGGTGCCACAGTCCTGGGGATCCCAAATCCAAGGCTGCTTAGGGAGCATTGGGCTTTCATACTCACCCAAGGCAGCAGGTGTTTGGGGGTAGAAGCCCATGCTGTGCTCTGTTGTGCTGTGATGGATGAAACTGGAGGGCAAGTTGGGGGAGACATCACCATCCTGCTACTAGCTGCTTGGGCTTTCATGATGCACCCACACCCAGGGCCGTGGAGCATTGCCTTGTTTTCTGCCTGGCCCCTTGGCTTTGGCACCCTCTTTACGGCTGAGGGCAAAGGGGCAGGTGCGTACGTCTGGGCAGGGAGCTGCAGAAAGGTGCCTTGCCTGCTTGTCGTGTGCTGGACCTCTTCCCCATCCCCATCCCACCTCCCCAAATCTGGAAAGCAAGGGAGAGACCCACCTCAGGTAGTACTGAGCCACAGCATAGGTGAAACTTGCTTGTGGTCTCTACATAGGAATTGGTGCTGAGGGGAAGGGGAGGGCCTGGTGAGGGCAGGGATGGGGTGTATGTGTTTGGGGGGAGGGAGAGCGTGGCCTGGGTGGCATATCACTGAGGTTGTGACTGGGAAGAAAGGCCACGGCTTGGCAGCTGTTCTCTCTGCAAGCTTGGACTGGGCATAGCTTGCTGGAGCTGGACTGTGCAGCTCTGGGCTGCCCTGCTCCCAGGGGATAGGGCTGTGGGGGCACCCAGGAATCATCTAGACCTTGGGTGAGTGGAAACCCATAGGCACCGAGCTGCACTGGAGGGCTGGTATGTTTGCTTGGGACTCAGGCATTTGTCTGCGCTCTGCCTAAGATGTCCTTTGCTCCAGCCAGGATTTCCAGCCTGGCACGTAACAGTCGGATCTGGGCAGCAGGGGAGGAGGAGGCACCTGCTGTGTCCCTGCTTGGACAGCAATGCCTCCCACAGTGTCTCCTCAGAGGCAGGTGGCCTCGTTAGGGCAAGAGGCCTGGCACAGCCACCACCTGCCCCTGCCTGGCACCACCCTGGGGGCTCCTGGGTTAGGCTGCATCCCTGCTCTGCGCGTAGAGAGCCCAGGCGGGGAAGGTGCCTGCGTAGCTGCAGCCCGCTCTTTCCCCACAGTCGCAGGGAGCAGAGTGGGCAGGGCCGGGGACCAGGCACTCGCCTCTAGTGTGATCTTTTAAATATTAACCCAGCGGCCAGTGGCTGGCAGGGGCAGACCCAGCCCCACAGGGACCAGGTCCAGAGCAATTCATAGCATAGGATCTGCCCTCCTGGAAGCACAGGGCTGACTTCTCCCTAATTTCTGCTCCCTGCTCCCTCCTTTGTGCTGCCCAGGGCCCTAGTTGGTCTGGGGTATCCATGCAGCCCCCCTGTGCTGGCTGAAACAGGCATCAGTTCATGCATATCCCCCCTGGAAGGATCTTCGGGATCCTGATGATCTCTACAGTGTCTCACTGCTTCTTCTTAGAGTTAGAGCAGCAACCTCCTCCTCCAGCCCCAGGACACTGAAAGCCTTCCCCACCTGCCACACTGAGGAGCTCCCAAGGGAGGAAGAGTCAGTTCCTCCCTGCCCTGCTACTTCCCTGCAGCTGACAGGGCCTGGTTCCTCTTCCAGGCTGGTGTAGGTCAGGCCTTGAGCCTGGCAGCCTTATATGAGGCATGAAAGGAGAGTCAGGCCATTGCTTTTATTCCCATCACCCTTTCCCCTGTGATGGTCACAGCCCCACACCAGCCAGCAGGGAACTCCCAGGCCCCCCAACACTAACCCCGGCCATCACAGGCAGCTGCATTGCAGCACCCCGTTCATAAATGTTTCCACTGTCTATCCCAGCGTGCTCCACTGAAAGTGAAAGTGAGGATGCTACAGGGCCCGTGTGTGGTCCTGGCTGGGAGGTGCACAGCCCATTTGATTAGCTGAGTGGTTCAAAGAGAGTCCAGTACCTTTTTGTGAGCCTTTTGGCACATATGAAATCCCCCACATATGACAACCAGCCTTGAGTGAGGATATCTGGGGCAGCTCCAGGATAAGGGGGAGGTTTTAGGAGATTCCCCAGGCCGAATGTTGTTGTCTGTTTGCTGCAGGGCTGATCTGTTGGCTCTGGGATTTGCATCCGTTTCTGGCTGAGCTGGCTTTGCTCGCCAGGTCTTAGCCTGCTCCAGCCCAGCAAGGGTGTGAGGGGAAGGAGGCTACAGGGACTGGAGTCCACTGCTATGAAGACCTGAGTACCTGATTGCTTAGCTTCTGCTCCACTGGCTCCACACTGGGCCGTATGTGTGGGACTGTGGGCCCCCGTCTTAGCTGGGCATGATTGGGATCAGCCTCAGAGTGTGAGTGGGATGGATCCCATTCAGAGAAGGGATGTTCCCTAATGTCTTCCTGGCCAAAGCGCATTTCCAGGCTGCCTCTTCTGCTCCCTATTACCAGAGGCACATGGCAGAGATGCTACCCCAGTAGCTCAGGATGCCTAAGGCAGTCAGCCTCACACCCAACTTGCCTCTGCAGCTCAGCCCCTTGGCCAGGCTCCCCTCCTAGCTGCAGCAACACCCATCTTTCAGAGGCAGCTTCAGCAATCCACCCATCCACACCCCACTCCCTGACATGGCGTAGCAGGGTGGGACTGACTGGGCTCTCCATACCTTCTTCCTTACCAGCATGGGGTCCTTACCGCCCAGAGCAGGATGGTCTACCAGGTCAATGATCATATAGTTTCATAGTACTTAGGGTCAGAAGGGACCTAAACAGATCATCAGGTCCGCCCCCCTGCCCTGGGCAGGAATGGGTGCCAGGGTAATAACACTCCAGCCAAATATCTATCCAGCCTCCTCTTGAAGACCCCCAAGGTAGGAGAGAGTACCATTGCAGAGCCTAGCAACCCTAACTGTAAAGTAATGTCTCCTGATGTTCAGCCTGAACCTTCTCTCTAACAATTCGTGGCTGTTATTCCTAGTAACCCCGGGTGGTGCCTGAGGGAACAGAGCCTCCCCCAATTCCCGCTGGTCCATGAGACAAAGCTCAAGGTCTCCATGCCAGCTGCAATTTCCCCGGCCCACTGCACTATGGGGCACTAGGAGAAGGGAGCCACAGAGACAGGGCTGCCTGGAAAGACTGGATCCTGGACCTACCAGACTAGGCAGGCTCAGCATTCAGCCTGGTTACGACTGACCTGGCCTAAGAGTCCAGGTCATTCCTCATTTGTGGTGGCAGCAAGTTTTGCTCAATCCAGTACACCTCTGAAGGACACTGCATTGCACAGGAGGTAGTGGATGGCATAGCTTAGGGAACCCCAAGGCTTCAGCCATTAGGACCCCAATAGCAGGAGATGGCAGAGAGGGAGGTGACTGCACTCTTCCAAGGCTGCCATAGCAGAGGCAGAGGCACACTTTACCCTGGAGGGCAGGACAGGTGATCATGGAGTATTTGGCAGCAAGGCAGATTGAGAACAGCCCTCAGGAGAACCACCTATAAGAACTGCAGGAGAATGGAATCTGGACCCCAAGGAGGTGGTGGTAGCTCCTTTGCGAGAGGGCTCTGGGCAGAGGCTGGAGGGGTATCCGTTGTGGGCTGGATGTCCTGCCTCTGTGCAGGGGGCTGGAGTGGGTGATCCTCCAGGTCCCTTTTGACTCTGGCATTCAAGTAGCCTCATCTGGAATAAAGAACAAAGACATTGTGTTTGATCTGCCCTCTCCTTCCTGATCTCCCTCAGCTTGCTGTGTGTGTGTCTGTGTGTGTGTGTATAACAACTAGAGAGTCAAGATTCAACCTTCAGTACACATAACATCTGAGGACATCAATGTAGACCCCAGCTCCCCCCTGCTCTGGGCACGAAAAAGAGAAAAGTACAAAGAGGAGAGAAGTACCTAGTGCTTTCATCTTGGGGAGGCAGGGCCTGAGAGTCTGCTTGAGCTGAGTGCTGGGGAGATTGAGGAACTATGTGGATTGGAGCATGGTGATGACATGTTCTTGATCAGGAGCCTACAGCCCAACTTTCATGTCTATACACTACTTTCAGGTGTCCTCCAATAGTCTGCTCCATCCACAGCATGAGCAAATTGACCTCTCCTCCTAATTACAGGGCCCCAGGCAAGTCAGAGACAACCCACATCACCCTGCTTTGTAAGAAGGCTCTGGGGTTCCCACCAGGCTCTGCGATCAGTGCTATCCAATAGCACCTCCCTCCTGGGGTGACTCTCAGTTCCTTTGTACTCATCTCCCTCTCTGAGAACTGTGCTGTTTCTCCCCCTGAGGTAATACAGTGCAGCTTAGGAATTGGTTACTATCCTTTTAAACAGCTTGCCACAGTGGTGCTCACAGTGTCCTCCGCTCCAGGAGCCAACTGCGTGTATACCTAGCTGGGCTTGCAGGGTCATAGGCATCCCATGGTGCCTCTGGGGTTCCCTCACAGCAGGTCTGTGGCAGCAAGACAAGTCTCTGCACATGGATGACTGTGTTTTGACTCCACCAATTAGCCCCAGACCTATAGGTCCTCTACATACAGCTTTCAGATGGGGCTGATGGTGCATGCAATGTACAGAAACAGCTGGGGCAGGCCTCAAGGCGATGACGCACCTGTTAGAGAGGCCAGTACCCTTTGGCCAACCCCAGCTCCCACCCTGTGCTTGTGCTGTGAGGCGAACAGATCAACCCGCAGGGAAGACTGACCTGTAGGAAGTGCGGGAGAGTGGAACAGTTCCAAACAGAGATGACGTGGGATTGTGAGGGTAAATATAGAGCAGTCAGGTGGGTGTGAATCACTGAGCGTATGCCTGTGTGAGGAGAGCACCTGCAGCTTGGCTCAAACAGAGGGAGGAGTTGAGATTCACAGTGATGATTTCAGGGGATAAAAGAGTTTGTGACGGGACAATAGACCAAGTGCTGACCAGCCCACCTGAGGACATCCATCCGGGTGGAACCTACAGAAGACACACAAATCATGGGGTGACTCTGCCCCTTGAACCCAAGGGGCAGCCCCAAGTCCCCTGGTTGGGGAATATCAGCACGAGCTCAGCTGAGAGCCATGGTGGGACTGAGCTGCCAGCCTGGCCTTCTACCGGCACTGATCTACACTTACTGGGTTGCCCTGGGGACAAGCCACTGGTGTCTTTCTCAGACCATTGATGCCCTATACCAGCCTCTCCTGGGGGCTTGTACTGCCCTGACACAGAGGGTTCATGTCATTCACAAGGTCCCTCGTGGCATCTGAGTCCCTTCACCCCCCAGCTGAGTCCATGATGCTTTAGCTGGGGGAGCTGCTGTGACTGCCCAGGGCCAAGTCACCTGGGAGGATTCATTCTCTCAGGAGAAGTGGAAGGTATAGAGATACTTTAAGTGGGAGCCTAATTTTCTGCAGAGCGGGACTGAGACTCTGGGCCCCCTTGAGATGGCTGCTTCCTCGTCTCCAGTCAAGGTGAGCATCTGTGGGACAGAGATGTGGCTGGGGAATGTCTGGGGGGCAGGTTGCTGGCTGCACCCTGCAGAGACAACACAACCCCAAGCAGGGAGTCCAGGTCTGCAGCACTAGCTTCTCAGTGTCACGGCCCTGCTTGTGGCCCCATTCAGAAGGTCTTGGCTCCAAAGGGTATAAAGAAGCCATTTTCTTAGGATGGGATCTGCAGAAATGCACAACAGCCAGACCCTGCCTTGACTCCAAGAGGGATGAGCCTGCCAAAGGCTATTCAGTTGGCAAGCTGCGCTTTCAATGTGCCCCTCAGGATGGAAGCAGACATTTGTGATGCTGAGAGCCCATGGCATTAGTGTGAGAGAGTGTATACTGTCTCCTGTATTAGGCACCTCCTTGCAGTACATGAGAGCCTAAGGCCTGGACAGTGTGAAACCCAGACCAACTTGCCACACTTACTTGGCTTTCACACCTCTTCCAATGCCAGGAGGGCTCAATCCCTGGCCTACGCTCATCCAGCTGAGTTCAGCTGGTGTTACAGGCAGCAGTCAGATTCCTGGCTTCCTCTCTGCTCCCTTCAGACATCCATGCTGTACAAGAGCAGCAGGACAATGATGTGAACTGCCCAAAAGGGTGGTGGGCCCTGCTTTCCAAGCAGAGGCAGGGCAGGCATCTCTCTGGGATGGGTTGGGACCAACACATCCTACTTCTGGGCCCCAATGCACAAGAATGGGCCAGCTTCATGTTGAAGAATGACATAAGAGGCTGCTCAGCACCCCCCAGCTTGAGACCAAGGGGTATCACAGAGGCGAGCCCCTACTCCAGGAATACACTTCCTTGCACCCTCCCCAAGCCCTGGTCTCTGGCTCCCCTGCTCCTCTCCCCTCCCAGGCACTCACTGGTGTCTTTCTGGTTCCAGGTGGAGCAGATCTTGTCCGAGTTCAGGCTGAAGGAGGAAGACCTGAAGAAGGTGATGTACCGCATGCAGAAAGAGATGGACCGGGGTCTCAAGCTGGAGACGCACAAGGAAGCCTCTGTGAAAATGCTGCCCACTTATGTACGCTCCACACCCGAGGGCTCAGGTAATGTGGCAGCCCACTGGCAGGGAAGCCATGGTCTAGGCTCTTACCTCTTGCTTCCCAGGCTGCCTTCCTCCATTGGAGAGAACCTGGTTCTCCATGTCTTTCCCTTCCAGGTCACTCTAAGTCACTCCATGGACCCCTCCATCGTCACTCTAGGGCAAGGGTGGGCAAAATGCACCTGTGGGCCGGATGTGGCCCACCAGGCCATTTTATCTGGCCCACAGGGCCCCTAAAAATTTAGAAAATTAATATTTACCTGCCACTGGCTGCCTGTCATGTGGCCCACGATGGCTTGCCAGAACTCAGTATGCAGCCCTCCACCCAAAATAATTGCCCACCCCTGGTCTAGAGTGTCTGGTAACTTGCTTGCAAACTCTGCTGCCTCGGGTGGCAGCCAGGCCTGACCAATGCCTATAGCTCTGGGCAGTCAGCAGGGGCAGATCTGTGCTAGCCTGCTCTGAGCCATGCCCAGCCAGCAGATCCCTGCCCCCTGCCCTTACAGTACCACTAGCCATGACATTCATCTGCTATGCTATCTCTGTGGTCACTGCAAAATCCCATTCCCCCAGGCAGCAGAAGGAAGCTTACAACCACCATGGAGGGAGGTCTGTCGGCATCACACGTGATGCTGGAGCAGGTGGTAGCAAGAATTCACATTGGAGGGTCAGTTTAATTTGCTTAGGTTACAGACCTTGGCCAAACTGGGCCCAGCTGGACCCACCAAAGAGAAGCGGCTGGGCCTGGAAAATGGACAATTATAGCAGCAAGGAGGGTCCTGTTTGCAAGCTTGGATTCCCAAGCAACACTTCTAAGCTACCATATTTTCTCATACACAACATGCACCTTTCCCTCAAAAGCCAAGAACTGAAAATTGGAGGCTGCATTATATGTGAGAGATACAGCAAGGGCAGTTTTTGCCACTTGCTGGGCAAAAGTGAAAGTCACATCTGCAGCAATCGAAAGGGAGCAGAGCAATGAGCAGGCTCGGCTTGCTCCCGGCAGGCAGCTGCTACTCACTCTCTACCAAGAAAGATTATTTTTTTCTTCATTTTGCCTTTTGAAAACAAAGTGTGTCTTATATTCCAGGCTGTGTTGTCTGTGAGACAATGCGGTGTGAACTTCTTCATACAGGGTGGTTCACCTGTGACTCATGAAGGGTAGTAAACACCCAGAGAAGGGGATTTTTCTCTCTCTGAAAAATGTTGCCTTTTGTTTTTCAAATGACACCACAACTGTGTGGCCAGGAAGCACTTTCTTTTGTTTTATTACTCAATAACCATTTTTTTTTTTTTTGCAAACATACAGTGAAACTGCATTTGACTGAAACATTTCTGGGGAAAATTCAGCCAACAAAATCTGATGCTTGGGGTTTTTCAGGGATTATTTTCTGGTAAAACACCACAGCTTCTTTTGGGGAGGGAACACTTGGACCTGAAGTTTTCCAGGTTTCTAATGCAGGAATCAAGCCTTTTTCCAGCCTCCAGGCAGAAAGGTTCCAACAGCAATTTTTTAACCATTACCGACAACTTATCACTGCTGTAGTGCCTCAGAGGCTGTTGTGCAGCAGCTGGTGACTAGGTGCTGCAGAAACACAGCACAATGATGATTCAATAGCTCTTTAAATACTTATGCTCCAGCACATGGCAGACTGGGATTCTGTAGTCTCTTCTTTTTATAAGCTTGCATTTGCCAAGAAATGGTTTAGTAACTCAGTTACAAAGCCCACGGGGCCTGGAGAAAGGGTGGTGGGCCTGACTGACACCGTGGTCAGTAGAGTTATTGATCCCAGGGCCAGAAGGGGTGGGTGTGATCCCCTAGTCTTGCCTCTTGCATAACACAAGGGATTTCCCAAGTGCAGCCCACTTACTTGTGATTGGATTGGAGGAGATCTTCTAAACAGATGCCCATTCTGGATCTCCAGATCATGGACCCTCTCCCATCTCTGGCTCATTTGACCTGATGCCTGTTCATCCTCCTTGATTGCACGTTCTTAGAGCGTGGCTGACGGAGACATCTGGAATGGCTCTTCTCCACATGGAAGCTGTGAGAACAGAGCAGAGCTAGCAGGGAAGGGAAGGATTTGTAGCTATTTCAGCCTATTGCTTGCTAACCCCCTTTTCCCAACACTGCGCTGCAGCTTCTCTGCTTCCACCTGCGTGCGGGGATCACGGCTGCTGGCTAAGGATCCCTTCTGAGCTAGGCCCCATTTCCTCTGGTGTTGCAGAGGTTGGGGACTTCCTCTCCTTGGACCTTGGGGGCACCAACTTCCGGGTGATGCTGGTGAAGGTGGGCGAGGGTGAGGAAGGGCAGTGGAAGGTGAAGACCAAGCACCAGATGTACTCCATCCCAGAGGATGCCATGACCGGGACAGCGGAAATGGTGAGTGCGGATAAAAAGGCCAAGAAATCCATCAATAAGGCTGGGGCTACCCAGAGCAAAAGGAGGCTGCTTCTGGGTCTTCTTTGCCTTCTTCCCACTTGTCAAAGCTGACCCTTTCAGTTTGGAACAAAGCTGAAGCCATGTTGTAGCTATTCAGGCTGCCCCTGATATAATTTTGCTTTTCTGCCCTGATTGCATTCATCCTGAACAGCACTCCTATCTGCCCTCTTATTAATACTTCTACTCAGTGGGTGTCTGGGAAGAGGCAATAACGATGTGTGTCATTTGAACAAATGCGTGGATGAGCTGTGCTAACCAGGCCCTTAGACCTTGTGGGGGATGGAAGAGGATGGAGGGGTTTTTTTTCCTCCTCACAACCCAGACCTTGCAGGCCTTAGCAACCTCATTTTTCCTTTTTGCTACTCACATGGCCTCTTCTCCCAGTCTCCAGGCAGCTGGGTCCACTTGCATCCCAGCCACAGCCCACATCAGTTGTGGTCCCCACCCACGCCATTGTATAGACCACCAAATGCTCTAGGTACTTGCCCAGCTCAGAGCTGTTCACCCTTCCCAGACAACTCTGCTTTACCCTCAGCAAACCCAGGAGTCCTGCTTCCAACCCCCACATGTCCAACAGGAACCAACAGGGTACAGAGCATGGGGCTTGGGGCTGAGGTCTTCCCTCACTGGCATCAACCCCACCTGTACCTCCATGTGGGAACAGAGCTGCCCACATGGGCTCAGCAGAGGTGAGGTGAAGCCACGTCCAGCTGTGCCAGCACCAGGGCTTGAGGCTGCCACAGCAGTGGATAGGAGCCATGCCAGGGGTTTTGCAAGCCTGGCTGTTGGGATATGCAGGTTGCATGGGCTGGAGGAGGAGGAGGGCACCCTCTCGTGGGCGACCGCAGCCTCTGCAACACTGCACTATAGAAATCTCACACAGATGGCATGGTTTTCAATGTACAGCCACCGGAACAGTGGCAGTGTCCAAGGGAAAGACAGTGCCTGGCCTCTGGAGAGCTGAGCCAGTTGCGACACGCTGGGTGCAGCAGTATGGAGCCAGTGTAGTATGTGTCCCCTGCCCCACAGAGGTGCTGTTGCTGTCTTGGCCCCAGGAGGCACTGGGGTTGGGCAAGCTGAAGATAGGTTCAGTCGCCCAGCAGAGCCTGCACTGAACTCAGCCCTGTCTCCTCCAGCTGTTTGACTACATCTCTGAATGCATCTCTGACTTCTTGGATAAGCACCAGATGAAGCACAAGAAGCTGCCACTGGGTTTCACGTTCTCCTTCCCTGTCCGGCATGAGGATATTGACAAGGTGAGGTCTTGCCCTGCACTTGACTGGGAGGCTCCTTGGGGCAGCAGAGGCTGCAGGAGGCTGTAGATGGGGCATGGGGAAGGACTTGGTACAGGGAATGTTTCAGCTGCAATGCCTGGCCCTACCTGGTGCCATGGAGCTGCCACCAACACCTGCATGTTGCATTCCAGACCCAGAGCCACCTCCTCTTGGGCTGGCATCTTTGTCCAGATGTGAGCCCCCCTTTGATCCCCACCTGCATCCTCTTGCCCTTCCAACTCCAAACCTGGCCCATGCAGGGAGCCACAACTGCCTGGAAGCAAGGGCCATGTTGGGAATGCCCCACGCACATGCGGATGTCCCAAGACAGATGGCTGTGGTCTCTGCATCTCCCTCTCTTTTGCAGTACCTTGTCCTAACCCTTCTTCCCTCTGGCCCCACAGGGAATCCTCCTGAATTGGACCAAGGGCTTCAAGGCTTCAGGAGCTGAAGGGAACAATGTTGTGGGGCTCCTGCGAGATGCCATCAAGAGACGAGGGGTGAGGAGGCTTGTAAGGTTCTGTTGAGATGGGTATCACACCGTGGGGCTGCTTGAGGCACAGTGTGCCCATGGGAGGAGGCCTCTAAGATCCATGGAGAGCCTGGTTGTACAGGAGTGTCCGTAGCTGCCATGCGTGCATCTGTAGGGCAGCCCCAGCTTTCCCTGGGCTCCCTCCTGGCAGCAAGACCCTACCCCATAGCCCATGCCTCTTCTTCCCTGGCCTCTGTCCTGGACATCATGGACTCTCTCTCTCATGTCCTTCTCTGCAGGACTTCGAGATGGATGTCGTCGCCATGGTCAATGACACAGTTGCCACTATGATCTCCTGTTACTATGAAGATCACCGCTGTGAGGTTGGCATGATAGTGGGTAAGATTCCTGACCACCTGGACACCCCTTCCAGCACAGGGGTCGGGGGCAGGGAGGGCAGCACATCCATCAGAGGTGGGGAGCCACTTCCTGCCCTTGATTTATTTGTCTTCAGCTGACTCCCAGCAGTGCCGTCACAGGGGCTTGGCAGGGTCCTATCAGCAGCTCTGGGCAACGGGAAGCCTCATCCTTGGAAACGGCTGCGGTAGCCATCTGGCAGGCAGGGCAGGAAGGGCTGTGCTATCTGCCTGGTCTGGACTGGTTGGCTGGAAGCTCTGGACTTGCAAGAGCACTGAGATGTCCTGTTGAAGTAATAAAAGCTGGCTCCCACTGTGTGCACCCACCTGGAACCCCCCATTGGTGGGGACCAGCGGGCTCATCCCACCCAGCCACAATAGGTGTAGATGAGGTGTTGCATCCTCCGCCCCACTGTATCAGAATATCTGAGACTAGCATCGGCAGTGATGGAGCCAGCTGGGGATTTCACACTAGCAACACTCAGCCTGGACAAACACTGCTTGCCATGGGCCAGCCTGACTTCCTTTCACTTCATCAGCATCAGAGGTGAGCTTGTCTTGGAGCTGGAGCCAGCAGCACACAGGCTGCTCTATCGGCCAGGTCCCCTCAATGCAGGGGTTCTGAAGTGATGTCACTGTGTTCTTAGAAGCGATGTCAGAAGGACAAGTGATGCAGATTGGTCAGCACTGTGATGTCACTCCTTATAGGTAGGGCTTCCCACAGAGGTATCAAGGATGTCGTCTCCATCATCCCCTTATTCAGCGGCCCATACATCCCCTTCATCAGCCGCCCACACAGGGCAGTGGCTCCCACCCTCCAGACGCACAGGACACCTGGGAGGTGGAGGACGGGGATGAAACAAGTGTCGAACACATCGCAGGCAGTGAGAACAAATCTGATTCCAGATGGAAATCTCTGCTAATGACTGGAGGTGCATTGAGCAGGAGTTCAAAGCTCCTAAATCTCCCCAAGGCCATGGGGCTCCCGGCAGCCTGCCCCATGGATGGGAAGTCTCTGCCTGGTGGTGTAGATTGCTGCATCGACTGGCTTTCCACATCAGCGAGCAAGTCCTGCTGACCCTTGCTCCTGACCTCTGTTGGGTCCGTGTTTGCTTTCCAAGCCAATGGTGCTGCGAGCATGTTCTCTAGGAAGAGTCTGGGAAGCTCCAAGTCCCTGCAGAGGAGTTTGAGAAGTCTTGGCAAACCCCAGCACTGAGTAGGGGAGCTCTAAGCAGGAGGCCTCGGGGCTGGCTGCTGCCATCACAGGAAGGGGGTCTATCAGGCCCTATGTTGTTTGCATGAAGGTTTGCTTCTGTTTGCAAGCTGGAGAAATTGGAGCTGGAGTTCCAGATTCAAGCTTGACTGTGCAAATTCAGAGACTTCAACTGATGGAGGTGGCAAACCCAGAGCGTCATCAAATGGGCCATAAATGCAACGATTTGTCTCAGGGGCAGTCTCACAGAGCTGAAGCCATAAACATCCAGGAGTAGGGAGAGCTCCTTGAAGCTGTCTAAAGCACAACGATAAATGCCCATGCTCATTCAATGCCACTAAGACTCGGGGTCCTTGCTCGAAGACTGAGACCTGAAGTAGCAATATTCCAAGGAAAAACCTACTACACCACAGCCAGGGAAAGGAAAAAGCCATATAAAGCAAAGCTGCCTAAATCGCTGTTCCAAAAGCCACTGATAGCTGTATTTTGCAGTATCCCATTCCTCTGTGTTTAGGTTCAACTCTAGTTTGGCCCCAATAATAGTTAGTTAGTTATTAGTTATGGTCATGAAGGCTAGTACTACAGGATGGTGGAGATTGTTGCTTTTAGGGATGGCCCATGATTGAGGCTCCCGGGTGCTATTACAATATACATCCTCCACGTCCTAGAGCAGCAAGGCAGTAGAATAGACGCTCAGGGGAGTTGTGGACTCTCCATCCCTGGAGGGTTCAGGAAGAAGTTGGATAGGCACTGGTCGGGGATGATCTAGGTGTAGCAATGCCTATTTTCTATCGTAGGTAATTCCCAGATTTCTGGGCTTTTCTGGTTGTCCCCTACCCTCCCATTCTGCTACATGTCTCAGGATGTTTTTAAGTCTTCCTCAGAGGCATTGGGTGCTGGCTGCAGCCAAGACTAGGGATGGCGATTGGGCTGTGCCAGTGCTCCTGCTGGGACTAAAGCTGGGTCCTGGCTAGAGGGTCTTGCCGTCTGCTTAGGGTCAGGCCAATGCTGCATTGAGGGTCAAGAAGGAATTTTACCCCCTGGTCAGACTGGTACGGACTTGGGGTGTGGAGTGGAGTGGTTTGCCTTCTTCTGTAGCTGGGGTTGTGGTAGGACATTGGCTGCTGTGGTCTCCCTGCTTTACCTGTGGCAGGTTTGAGTGTGGGATCTGTGTTGTGTCAGGATTTCCTGAACAGTTTAAATTATGAATTGTCTGGGATGGTTTGGATGGGATGATCCTGCCTCAGGCAGGGGTTGGACTGGATGTGACTTCTGGAGGTCACTTCTAGCCTGACTTCTCTATGATTTCTATGAAGATAAAGCCCTTGGGATCCTCAAGGATTTCTGGGAGAGACATTCCCATGGCCTTCACAGGCAAGGCATCATAACAAATGGATCATGCTGCTGGCAAGGAAGAGCTCAGCCCTTCCAGAGAGAAGAAAGCGACTGGAAAATGGGTCAGAGCGTCTGTGACGTGCTAGTTGGGTCCCCCCCCCCATTGGACAGCTGGTGCTGGAAAACAGTGCGTGTGTGTGCCCGCTGATCCATGTGATGCTAATACGGCACTGAACTGCTGAGGTGGCAGCCCCTAGGAGCAACAAGTCTCTTGGTATTAAGTGCAAGCCACGTGCCAGGGCTGGCCCGGGCAGACCGATTGTGCTCTCTGGGAGTGACCTGAATCTGTTGTTTGGGTGATAAACAGTGCAGTGCATAGGCCAGAGCCTGGGTGCAACCTCTGAGTGCACCCTCTGGAGATGAGATGGCTGAGCGGGGAACGAGGCACTGGGCCCTGCCTCCTGTGTGCTTGGGAACCTTTAAGAGGATCTTAAAGGTTGTGCTGCCCACCCCACTGATTAGGGATGCCATTGAGGTCTGAGCCAGGCATGACTCTCATCTCCATCACCGTGGTGTCCTGCAGCCTGCACCCTGGCTGCCCACACTGTGCAGCTTGCTTCTCCAGCATGGCACAATGCTCTATCCCAAGGTCCCTTATGGGGCCCTTCTAGGACTCAGTCAGTGGGCAACTCTCTCCTTTTGGACAGCAGAGATGGGAAATGGGGTACAGAGGGGCCAGATGTCTGGAAACCGGGCGTTATGGGTGAGACCTGGAGATCCAAGTGAATTCCGAACATGTGTCAGGACAGGGTTGCCTAACTCGTGGCACAAGTGCCAGGAGTGACACCAGCAGCCTCTGTGTGTGGCACATTGCTGACTGGGGAGGGGACAGGCAGTAGAGGAGTAGCTAGGGCAGTGAACAGAAAGCAAAGCAACCGATGGGACAGGGGACACAGGGAAGGGAGCAGAAAGTAAAGCAGCTAATCAGGCAGAGAAAGGGCATGGGAGTGGCATTTGGGGGAAGGTACAGGGCTAATTTATCATACACTTCTCCCCCCTCCCCATGAGGAGGAGTCATGCTGGAAGCTGGAAGCTGAGCCATGCTCCCACAGCCAGGCAGATACTCTGTGGAGGTTGACTAGAGGGGTTCAGAGTCCAGATCAGTGACTTGATGATCAGCCCTCGGTCCCAGGGTAGACACAGCCACCCTCTACAGAGCTTGGCTTCCCCTGCTTCCCCTTACCCTGCATGACTAACACAGTCTCTCCCTCCGGCAGGGACGGGCTGCAATGCCTGCTACATGGAAGAGATGCACAACGTGGAGCTGGTGGAGGGCAATGAGGGCCGGATGTGCGTGAACACTGAGTGGGGCGCCTTTGGGGCCTCGGGGGAGCTGGACGAGTTCCTCCTGGAGTACGACCGCGTGGTGGACGAGACTTCACTTAACCCCGGTCAGCAGCTGTAAGGAATATGACAGATACAGTTCACCTCGCTGCTCGCTGCTTTCGGGTCGCGCGTCTCTGTGCTGTGGGGGCTGTCGCTTTGCCTCCTGTCAGTGGGAGCTCAGAGGGGGTCTCTTCCTGCAACTCCCTCTTTCTCCTGCCCCAAAGCTGAGGGCCTGAGCCAGGGGGTGGCTGGCTAACACACTGGCAGTGTTTGCTGCCCAGAAAATGTGCAGAGCCCAGCAAAGAGCGAAAGAGGTTGTTTTCCTGGTGCTCACACAAAATTAGCCTCTATTATCAGGCCATTAATCTCCGGGGAGAGCAGCCTCAGCTGGATGGCTCCATCACACACACCATGAGTGCCCCAGCAAACGCTTGCCTGTGTGCATAGCCCCCACCATGTAACACACTCTCGTGTACATCCAAACGCACATGGGCCCGCCCCACCACGCACATCCACAGGCACTGAAACGTGGGCCTTCTACACACTCAGAAACTGGCTGGTCCACACCCTCTGCGCTTACTTGTGCTCTGGACTTCCTAACAAAGTAGTGAAGGCAACAAGGCTGGGGTACCTCCACAATGGAATGAGATAAGGATATAGGACAAGAGGATTGTGGTTCCTACAGTAGGATCTGGGCATGCTGAACTGTGATGTGGTGTCTGCATGAAGGGGTGGAAAGGAAACTCACCCTCCACAGTGCTTGCTTGCATGCCTAGGGGTCTCATAATCCCAAAGGGCTCAAAAGTTAGGAGGGACCTCAGGGATCACAAATGCAGCTGTTCCTCAGTCATCCCTGCCTAGTGCTTATCCAGCCCCTAGTTGAAAATCAAGAGTGAGGGAGACCTCCATCCCTCTCCTGGGCAGTCTGCTCCCCTGCCTGTCCCAGCAGTAAGGAAGTTTTCCCTGAGACCTAATCCACCTCTATCCTGTGGCAATGTCCAGCCACTGCTTTGTGCTTTGGTCTCTGGGACAAGGGAGACTAGATGCTCTTCCTCTTGATGGCAGCCTTTCAAATATCAGGAGACTGTTATCATATCCCCAGGATATCCTGTCTTCCCCAACGACACATGCCTAATTCAGTGTTTCCATGACTAGCTCCAGAGGGAGTGAAGATACAATGAGGTCTCTGTAGAGGGTGGGGTTGGGTCCAACACAGCACTGCTCAGATTGGTGAGCAGTGGTGAGCAGATTGGTGAGATTGTCAGGAGAGCGCTGGAGACGCAGTGCTGCTGCTGTTCTAGGCAGTGGAAGGCAGACAGGTGTGTTGACATGGGTGGTGGGCAAGCGTGCCTGGGAGCCTGTCCTCACTGCCCTGACTGCTGCCCTTGTTCCTGCCCAGCTATGAGAAGATCATTGGCGGGAAGTACATGGGGGAGATTGTGCGGCTGGTGTTGCTCAAGCTGGTCAATGAGAACCTGCTCTTCAACGGAGAGGCCTCGGAGAAGCTGAAGACCAGGGGTGCCTTTGAGAGCCGCTTTGTCTCACAGATTGAGAGGTACAGGGGGCTCCACTGCTGCCGCCTTGCACCCTAATAGCCTGCTGACATCCCAGGGCAGGCTGGGGAGGGGTCTTGGAATTCCCCAGAGGTAGGAGAACTGATGGAGTAGAGGGGACAACACAGGCCTGGGCAACACTCAGGCTCTCGTGTCCCCACATTACCACCCTATGCCTTGAAGCTGGTAGGCCATGCTCTGGGCTGGCACTTAGGTGGTCTGGGCTCCATACCCAGAGCTATTTGGCCTCTGCACTTCAGGACATACCTGATTAAGCCTCTAATCAATTAGTGATGAAAAATGACAAGAAGACAACTCATCTCCTGGGTAAAGCACTGGGAGGTCCATGGGGAACAGATGGGTCCTTGCTGGGGATTCATTAGCAGGAAGGAGGGTGCTGGGGTCAACCATGGGGATGACTCCTGCACCCTTCCTTGGGCTTTTGTCACTGGCTCCCAACTCTCCCCTTGCTCCCTGCCATTGTCTCATGGCATTGAGGGACCTTGTTCCATGACAAGGGCCCCTGACTGGCTCTCTCCCTCCCCGGCCCTAGCGACTGCGGGGACCGCAAGCAGATCTACAACATCCTGACGGCTTTTGAGCTGCTGCCTACAGTCACAGACTGTGACATCGTGCGCATGGCGTGTGAAAGTGTCTCCACACGAGCCGCCCAGATGTGCTCAGCCGGGCTGGCCGGTGTCATTAACCGCATGCGTGAGAGCCGAAGCCAGGACACACTCAAGATTACTGTGGGGATTGATGGCTCCGTCTACAAGCTCCACCCCAGGTGAGACCACATGAGGAGCCTGGGAGGGACAGACAGCCCCCCATAAACCCTTTTTAGTTTGTGCACCATCTCCTTGGCTCCTTCCTTGCCTCTGCAGCTGTTGGTCTCAGAGCAGAGGGTTTCCAGACAGCAAATTGCAGCAAGCTGATAGGGTGCAAACCCTAAGCTGTAAGAGCAGTGGGGCCAGGGGCCAAGCTGCCCAAGGGAGATGGGGAGTGTCCTTCAGTTGGATGGGCGTGTCTGGAACAGCGCATCTTGCCTCTGTGGGCTGGGGTTGAGCTAGTTGACCCTCGCAGTCTCTTCCAGCCCTGTGGGATTATTGTAGGGCGCCATCTTCCCCAGGAGATATTTGGAAGCATGGAGCATCTCCCAGCTGCTCCAGATGGTAGCCAGCAGTGTGAGAGCTGGTGAGACCACTGGACCTAACTCCCTCCTTCTCCGTCTCTCTCCAGCTTCAAGGACCGGTTTCACACGGCTGTCCGGCAGCTCACGCCTGGCTGTGACATCACTTTCATCCAGTCGGAGGAGGGCAGTGGCCGGGGGGCCGCCCTCATTTCAGCTGCAGCGTGCAAAATGGCTTGCATGATTGGCCATTGAGGGGGTGAGCGGGGATTGACCTAAGGACTATGGCAGCAGAGGCCACGCCTGGGACATGGCTCCCTCTTGAGTTCTTTAGAGCGCTCCCCAGAGCCGAGAGACAATGAGGGAGAGGTACCCAGTGGGAAGGGGGAGAAGCCTTTTCCAGCCCAGCATATCCACCCGCCTCCAGCCTGCTCTGCACCATGCCCTCACCACGCCAGGTTCAGTCTCTCCCCTCGCTGCCCCTATTCCCTCCTTTGCTGCTTCCGAGCCAGGCTCACGCCATAACTGTGGAGATCTCCTCCTGCTGTTGGTTTGTGGGGCACAGCAGGGGCAGGGCTTCACCCAACCACCCTCTTCTGATTGGCTCAGCGCACGAAAAGGATCCATCAGACATGGCCAATCAGCATGAGCGGCAGTCACAGATCCAGCTTCTCTCAGCCAATCAGGGCCCTGGGCCTCTCTTTATATTGGTTGTGAATGACCACCTCTCTTGAGTTGGCTGGCGGCAGGATGAGGCCAGGCAGGGAATGGTCCCCTGTGCCTCCGAACCTGAGGCAGGAAGCATGTCTCCTCCCTAACCCCTTGCCTTCACAGGGCCCTCTCGCCCAGCTGTGGCCTGACCGTGCCTGCTTAGAGAGGTACCCTTAGGAGCCCCCTCCTTGACCTACTGTCCTTTTGTGCCCACAGCTGCCCCCTTCCCATCCTCAGGTATGCCCAGGAATCTAGCTCTGGGTCTTTCCTTCCTCTGCATGCACCAGTGTGCAGAGCCCTTGGCTGGCACAGGATGTGGAGGGGCTGGCACTGCCCACGACAGCTGGAAGAAGACACAGGGCCTTGATTCTGATGCATGCCTGGTAGGGATTGTGTGACAGCAGGGAGACCCCAGCCCCCTGAGGGTGGCAGGCAGGGCCCATGCCCCACAGTAGAATCCCAGGGCTTTGGCAAGGAAGGATGTAGGATAGCGTTACCCCCGGCTGTCTGTTCTCTCCCTGGGCTTCCCGTCTGGCCTGGCTCTGGGTGAGCCTGTTTCTATCAGGAGCAAGAATATAGCAGGCATCCTGGCTCCCTCCATGTTAGCCCTCAGTTGCTCCCAGGGGGAGCTGGCAGGGCTGTGTCTGTTAGGGTCCTCCACCCCAGGTAAAGCCATCCATCCAAGGCCTGTCCTCTGCTCAGCGTTAGACACACTCAGACATCCCTTCCATGCTCCCTGCTGCAGGAAGGGGTTTTCCAGGCTAATACCTCCAAGCCACAGGTCCAGTGCTGCTGCTGTTACAGAGCCACATGCAAATATGTCCTCTGCCATCCTCTCTCTATGCATGGCATGCCAACATGCCCAGAATCCAGGCCCGCACAGTACCTCCAACATGCATTGCAAACAGCTCATCTGAGATCCTCCCTGGCGTGCATGCATCCCCTGCACCACGTCACTCAGCTCAGGGGCACACACTCACACACACGTACATACACAGACATACCCGTGTGCCACTCTTATCTGTGCATGTCCACACCCACACTCTGCCCGTGACACTTCAGCTGGACACACAGGGCTTCCAATTCATTGTAAGTACGAATAAAATGGGCCTCAGGCTCAGCTGCTTGCTAGGCACAACATTAGGCCCACCGGCGCGTGATTAGATTTAGTTTTGCCATGGAACTCATGTCTCGGCCACCCACAGCATGGCATCCTGCCGGCATCTGATGTGCTCCCTGGGACAGGGAGGGTCAGCGGATGCTACCATGGACCTCAAAGAGGTGTGATAGCCATTCCTGGCCCTGACGTTGGCTCCACATGAGATTTCAGGTCAGCTCCTTCCTCTTCTGCTCTCTGCACATCCCTGCTAGCAAGCAAAGTTTCTGTCTCCCTTGGCCTGAAGGGCCTGAAGGATGCTCAGGCTCTTAGGATGGACTTGGAGCCTGGGTCTCGTGGTTAGCAGGAGGGCAGGGGCATTCCAGCTGACAGGGGCAGCTGATTTAAAGGGAAGCTGAGGTGACCTGGGGTGCTTAGCCCTAGGGTCCCACCGTCTTGCTAAGAAGTGACCCCCTCCCTGCTAAGCAAATAGTTTGGGAATCTCAAGGGAATTCTGCTCCACAGTGGAGGAGACTGCAGTGTTGCTGCCTGTGCCCTTGTGACAATGCAGCACCCCAGCTTTACCTAGCTGAGTCTTCTTGAGAAGGCCACGGGATGCAGGGAGCTGCTGGCAGCAATGGCATTGCGGGGTGTGAGGCACCCATCCATGGTCCAGGCTGAGCCCTGCAGGGTGTCCTGCTGCTGCTGCTGGGGGCTTGTCCCCAGGGCACAGCTGCTAACAGTCTCAGGGCACAGGAGACGGCTCTCCCTGCATAATAAGAGGTGCCTGAGCAGGCTTCCCACTGAGAGAGTCCAGCACCTGGCTTGCAGGAAGGATGAGGATCTCCAGGTCTCTGAAGAAGGCAGGCAGAGAGGGGACGGGGTGGGATGCCACGGCATGTGCTGACATGATATAATAAACCTGATTCACAACATGAGCCGTGTGCTGTCTTGTCAGATGTGCGTCAGTGCCATGGCATGTGGTGTATCCTCCTGACACTTACCAGGGAAGATAAGAGGGGCTGAACGACTCCTGCCTGGCACCAGCCCTCAGAGCCCCTGTGCCACCCAGCAGCCTCAACCCTACTGCTACCCCCAAGCCACCCACTGAGCCCCAGAGACAGCCGTACGCGGCCTGTGGATGTCCCCAGCACCGGGCTACCTATGCCCAGGCCCCCAGGGTCCCCATGAAACCATCGTCCAGTGGGTTTCCATTAAGACATGCCAGTTCAGGGAAAAGAGCCATTTTTCTATGGAAATGGTTTGATTTCAACCACAAGTTTAATTCAAAAGAGTATTAGAGCTTTAAGCCAGAGCCTATGGGGAAGGCCCTGACTGGCATTCGCTTCAGCACGGCTTGGATTTATGAGGTGCTTTATGCTTGCTCACGGATGAGTGTGCTGGACATCTCTGCACCCAGTCTGAGGAGGAAAACCCAAAGCCGGAGCCATGGTGTTTCCGCTGACCCCAGAATAGTCAAAGTCAGAGCCCAAAGACATCATTGGGAGCCAGACATGGCATTTCCCCTGGCCCCCGAAAATGCAGGAAAAATGGAGGGGATTTGAAGGTATTTGTACCCCTTGGGATGAAAAACCAGCCTTGGGGACACTGGAATGGCCCGAGGGAGGGAGACTGGGAGTGTGGGGAGCCTGGGACTCTTTGCCAGCACTCAAGCAGGGAGAAAGGGGGCTTCTCGGCCCTGTCGGCTGGAATGTTGCTGTCATCCGGCCCTTATCAACCCGGGCTGGGACTGCCAAGTTTGGAGCTGTTGTCCTGTCCTGCTCCTAATTTAGCTGTTGGGGTGATAAGCTGTGGTATATAACCCTAGTTTGCCCTTGCCACTCACGCTTGAGGTACCGAGACAGTCACGTGGCAGGATGGTGAGTGTCTTGTGCTCGCGGCTGCTGGCTGGAGCAGGTAGGTCTGCTCCGAGGGGGAGTCCTGTCTTCTGAGGGCTGGCTGTGCACAAGGAAGGGGGCTGAGAGCCCCTCAGCTCAGCCCATGCCCTGCCCCGTAGTGCTGCCTGGCATGCTAATGGTTTATTACCATTGCATTGCACTCAGTGCTCTGATTGGCTCCAAGTCTTGGGAACCAGAAGGATCCCCTGCACTCCAATAGGCAGACCCCGTACTACTGGTTTTCCTGATCTGCTGATTGGTTCAGACACAGCAGGGTCTGATTGGCCTTAATGAAACAACAGCAGGATTCACCATGCTCTGATTGGCTGATCTTGGGAGCCTGATGGATTCCCTGCAGGCTTAGGGGCTCCCCTGGCAGTAGCAGGATCCCCAATATTCTAATTAGTTCTGACACAACTGGATTCCCTGTGCTCCAACTGGCTCTCCCCTGTAGTGGTGGGATTCTCTACACTCTGGTTGGTTCAATCCCATTAGGGGCAGGATTCCCTGGGCCCTGATTGGTTCCGCCCTGGAAGGGAGCTGGCTTTCCCACGCTCTCAGAGCTCTTTCCTCCACAGGCCAGTAGGAAGGCTGGGACCCGGAGCAAGGCCGCGGCCAAGCGTGTGCAGAGGGGCTCCTCCAACGTCTTCTCCATGTTTGAGCAGTCTCAGATCCAGGAGTTCAAGGAGGTGAGGGTGCTGTGGCCCACTGCACTCAATCCTCAGGGCCCCAGGCAGTGCGTGGAGCACCAGGGCAGAGACCAGGGAAAGAACCTGTTGCCAAGATGCTCAGTGCGGCCATGCTGAGGTTCCCCTACTCCTGGAGCTGGAGCTTTAGGGGTCTGCCCAAGCAGATCTGGAGCTCCCGGCCCGGCATGCAGCACTGGGGTTCGAGCCTAGGAGGGCAGGGAGGGGCTCACACCCAGGCCCATTCCCTGGGGCTGAGTCACGTGTCATCCCCAGGCTTTCAGCTGCATCGACCAGAACCGTGATGGCATCATCACCAAATCGGACCTGAAGGAGACGTACTCCCAGCTGGGTGAGTACCTGTGCTCAGCCCCAGCTCAGCGCTCAGCTTGGCCAGGACCAAGGTCCCACTCGTTGGTGACCAGGGAGGGATCGCAGCAGAGTCTCGCCCACTTCAGGGCTGGTGCTGGGGTGCATAATGCAGGCAGCCTAAAGATAGCAGAGATGGGAGGGGACGATGCCTGGGGCTGGGAGGTGCACTGGCTGCTCTGAAGACACCCACCTCCTCTCCCTGCTGCTGCCTTATCAGCCCCTGATAGCAGCCCCTTATCCCCAGGGCTCTGCAGCACTTGGCATCCCACGACTTCCTGCCTGTAACGTCATAACAACACACCAACTTCTTTCCTCCTTGGCAGCCCAGCTCAGACCGTGCTCTGCCCAGGGCACCGGGGCTCCAGGGGACACAAACTCCCTGACCTTTCCCGCACCCACCCCCACCCCCACCAAAGCCCCTCTCACCCTGGCCTCCTTCCCTCCAGGGAAACTGAACGTGAAGGACGAGGAGCTGGAGGAGATGCTGAAGGAAGGCAAGGGACCCATCAACTTCACGGTTTTCTTGTCGCTTTTTGGGGAGAAGCTCAATGGTGAGTCAGCTGTGGCCTGGCAGGGGCCAGCGGGGCCACATGGCCTCATCAGCCTCTGATAGTGATCCCCGATAGCCCAGCTCTGCTGCTGGGGCTGAGCACGCTCTGTGCAGGGCAGGGCTGTAACCCCTGGGCAGTAGGACCAGGCAAGCAGAGACTGGGGCACTGGAAACCAACAGGCAGAAGCCAGGTCCTGGGAAGCCTGGAACCAGGATGCAGCCACCCCAAGCCGGGCAAATGCCTGTGTCCTGTTGGGCAGCCTCCTGGGCACAGGTGGGAGTCACTGGGACCCCCCCAGCAGCCAGACAAGCCAGGGAACCAGGCCCAGCTGGGGGCAAATTCGCCTGCTTGGAGGAGCCCTGAGTGAGCCTGAAAGTTGCAAAAAAAAAACCTTCCCTCCCTGCCAGGCATTATCCTGCCAGTGCAGCCTGGGCCTCCTGCCCTGGGGCATCCTAGCCACCCATCTGCCCAGCAACAGGGCCTGGCTTTGCCCTGAGAGGTGGCTTTTGTGGGGGTGTGGGAAGGTCCCTGGCACTTCTGGACTTGGCCAGGCACACTGAGGGCAGGGCTAGGAGCACGAGGTCCTGCGGAGAGGAGCAGGGCATGGGGGAGAACTGGGAGGATGCCCCCCTCACCATAGGACCCCTGTCTGAGCCAGTGGCATGGGCCCCTGCAGGCACGGACCCGGAGGAATCCATCCTCAACGCCTTCAAGCTCTTCGACCCCAATGGCACTGGCACGGTGAACAAGAACGAGTGAGTCGGGGGCCAAGGGGAAGGGCTAGGCTGGCACCACGCAGCCTCTCAATTAGGCCCCTTCGGGCCTGGTGCCCTGTGGGGGTGGGAACCCACTGCTCTGGGTTTGCTTGGCACCACTGACAGGCAGCCCTGGGGGTCTCCACTGTCAGGGCCAGGCTCAGAGGGGCCTCACGGCAGCCTGAGCAGCATAAGGCCTCTCCAGTGACCAGCCTTGGGGGACTCTATGCCTTTTCACCCACCTCCTGTTTCCTTGGCAGGTTCAAGCAGCTCCTGCTGACCCAGGCTGACAAGTTCTCCCCAGAGGAGGTGAGACCACCCTTGCTCCTGACCCAGCATGACTGCAGCAGCCCAGCTAGGCTTTCTGCACCCTCCAAGGGCTCTGCCCGGGCGAGCTCCTGACCCCTATCAGGTGCCTGGTGAGGCCCAGCCCTAATCTGCTGCACAAGCCTTGAACTAGATGGCTTGTGGCAGGCTTCACCTGTTATTTACAGGATGTAGGATGAGGGGCTTGAATGCACTGGACACTTTAGAGGTCCCTTGGTCATGTTCCCTTGCCCTGAGGACCCAGGCCAGCTGTTCCACCCCCACCAGAGAAATGGGGCAACTGAGGCACACAGCAAGTCCCGGGCAGAGTCAGGGAAGAACCCAGGAGTCCTGTTTACCAACCACTGCTCGGTAGAGCAGGAGGAGAGGGGCAGCAGGAGAGATGATCCCTGGGTCCTATCTGGGGGAGTAGGAGTGGAGCAGGTACATGGAGAGGGCCTGGGTGCTGCACAGAGCTCCCCTGGGTGTGGTACCTCTCTCCCTGGCACCACCGATGGGGCTTGTTGGGCTGAGCAAGTGGGAGTGTGAAGCCAAGGGAGGCCAATACCAGGCAGGTGAGGGGCAGAGGTGCAGGGCAGCATCTGCACATATCCTGGAAGGGCAGAGCACGGCCAATGCCACGTATCTGTGGGTCAGGCAGCCCATGGCACAGATCCTCTGTGTAGCCTGAGCCTGGGCTGGAAGACGTGGGCAGAGAAGGAGGGAGGAAGGACTGGCACATATGTGTGCATGTGTGTCACGGAGTTCCCTATGACAGAGCTGTGTTGTGTGTGTGCATTTGTGCCTGTGCACATACATGTGTGTGTCAGTGTGAGTTGGTGTTGCGGGGCAGAAGCATGCATGTGCGTTTGCCCGGGCCCTGCTGAGACTCACCCCTACCCTCCGCCAGGTGGAGCACATGTTCGCGGTGACGCCCATCGACGTCTCTGGCAACATCGACTACAAATCCCTGTGCTACATCATCACCCATGGCGACGAGAAGGAAGACTGAGGAGCAGGGCCGCCCGCTCACGCCCCATACCCACGGCCGCTGAAATAAACTCCCGAGCCACTCAGAAAAGCCAGACTCTGTTTGGGACTTATGGGAGTGGGGGGGGGGTCTCCCTCTGTGGCCAATGGGGAGGAAGGCAGGGTCTGTGACCAAAACTACAGCAATCATCCCAGCCGCAGGAGCTGTGGCTCTGCCATGGCACAGCTCCAAGCAGGCTCCTCTGTGTGCTGTGCCCAGCTGGCTGCAGGACAGTCCCTGGCACAGCCCTCATGCCCAGCTCCGGGGTGGTTGCAGTGCCTAGAGAGGGGCAGGGAAGGTGTGAAGAGGGTCGGGGGCTCTGCTTTATTCAGTGACCCCATAAGAGCCCAGCAGGATACAGGCAGGAAGCCAGAGGTGCATTGCCTACAGTGCTTTATTGCTGAGGAAGCCAGAGGCAGGGGAAGGAGGGGCAGGTCCAGCTGGCGGCATCCCCCAGCCTCTCTGGGGCTGTGTTACCAGCTTCGGATGCAGCCTAGATAGTCAGCAAAGCTGCTGGAGATGGGTGATGCAAAGCACATGCTGCTGGCAGGGAATTGTGCCAGGGTCCAGCTGCCTATGCAGGGAGACAGAGCCTGGTGTGGGGGAGACACCCATGAGAGCCCATCAGCCTGCAGCCCACCCATGCCAGATCCTCCACCAAGCCCCTCTCTGCTGCCATGCCCCAGAGTTGCCCCCTCTCCTGGTCCCCTGTTCACCCATCCTTCAGCCAATGCCAGTGTCCCACTGAGCCTGGGGAGCATGTGCCCATGGGCAGATCCCTGCTGGGATGGCAGCTGCCATGGATGCTGAGGCTGGAGACCCCTCCCACAGCCCCCAAGAAGCAGGTAGGGCCCAGGCCCAGCGACGGGTGTGTGTCCCTCCGTACCCAGCCTGGAGGAGCCAGGCGTCACCTACCAAGCTGTCCAGTGTGATGCTTTGAGGCCTGCTCCAGCTGGCTCCGCCAGGCAGTCTGCAGCAGCGTGGAGGGTGGGGAGCCAAGGCTGGGCATCCTCCGGGGAATGCATCAGCTCAGGTCATCTGTGAGGGAGAGCAAGGGGTTCACATCACAGCCGGGCTGTCCTGCCCTCCTTCTCCCTGTCCAGGGGCACCCGTGGGCACTCTCTCACCTAGCAGCTCCCTGGAGTCCGAGCAGAGCCCCAGGTCGGTGCAGGTGTCCTGGGGATCACTGCCATTCTGCAGCGCGTCACTGATCTGGTCTTCGTATTTCCTCACCAGTGACCTGCATTGCCGGACCAGGCGCCTGCCCAATCCCTTGCACACTGTCTTTAGGGCCTTCTGAATGGTGTCCTGGGGGAGAGAGACAGCCCAGATGTAAGCCACAGCCTTGCAAGTGTCTGGGGGGCATCCAGGGCTCCATTGCCTCCTCCCATTGGCCCCCGTTCCCTGCCTTAACCCCCCCCATGCCAGGATCTCACCTCGTCAGCATCCTCCCCCACCATGGACTGGAGCTGCTGCATCACTTTGGTGCAGAGGGTGCACAGCTTCTTGGGCTTTGGAATTAGGGCTCCCTCCTCCAGCCGATCCCACTGTCAAGCAAAACCAAAGGACTCTCATGGCCTGAATCCCCCTCAGGGCCAGCGCTGGAGCTGACAGGCGAGTGCCCTCCCAAAGGGCTCAGGCCTAGTGGGTGGGATTAGGAGGAGAGAGCACGGGGTGGGGGGAGATGTGAGTGGAAGATGGTTGTAGCACAAGCCATTGTCTCACAGCTCCTTGGAGGTTGGCAGACAGGGGGAAGGGGACCTGAAGTATCAACCTTCCTGCAGCCACCCTAATCTCCCCCCAGCCTCCTCCTGCCCCGCCTCAGGCCAGGGCTGGCCCAGATTCACTGCTGGAGCCCTGGGAGGGAGAGGGGGTGGTCTCCACTCTTCCTTCAGTCTCTGGTGGATGCGCCCATCTGGAGCCAGCAGCCCAGTCTGCACAGTCGTAGTGGTACCCCCGCTTTGGTCAGCACAGCAACGTGCAAGTGTGACAGCAGGATGGCTGGGTGTGAATGACAATGGCCTGGTGGCCCTGGCTGCACACGGACGATACTGAAGGGGGAAGGGGAGCTGCCACTGGGGAAAGGCCATTATCAGGACCACACGGGGTCAGACCATTGGACCACCCAGCACGGCATCCCACGGCAGCAAAACAGCAGGCGCTTTAGTGGCAGGGGGGCGGAGCAGGGACGATCTGGAGCGGGACAGAGCCCATCAAAGGGGGCCCCACCCCTGCCACACCATCATGAGCCCTCACCAGAACAGTGTCCCAGAAGCTCAAGCAGAACTGCTCTTTCCGGCACTCAGTGGCTGTTTCTGCATCCTGGCACCAGTATGCCGGGCCCTGGAGGCATCTCTCGGGGACCTGGTCCAGCTGGGCTGATGCTGCCAAAGAAACAGGTAAATGGGAGCAGCCTGCAAGCTACTGAGGAAGCCCTCAAAGAAGGCACCCTCTGCTCCCCCGAGCTAGTGCCAAGCCACGTTTCAAGGTCCATTTGCACAGATGAGTCCCAGCTTCATAGATTTCTAGGGTCTGAAGGGACCTATTAGATCATCGAGTCCAACCCCCTGTTCTGGGCAGGAAGGAGCACTGTGGTCAAGTAACCCCAGCCAGGTGCTTGTCTAATCTTTTGAACACCGCCAAGGTAGGGGAAAGCACCACCTCCCTTGGAAGCCCATTCCATATTTTGGCGACCCTCACCATAAAGGATTTCTTCCTGATGTCCAGTCTAAATCTATTCTCCTTCAGTTTATGGCCGTTGTTTCTAGTAACCCCGATGGATGCCCTGGTAAAGAGAGTATCCCCTATTTCCTGCTG